AGGAGTAGAATTCTGGATCATATACTAGTTTTACGTTTAATTTTTTGAGGAGCCGCCAAGCTGTTTCCCACAGGGGCCGCGCCATTTTACATTCTCACCAACGATGTATGAGGGTTCCAATTTCTCCACTACTTGCTTCCTGTTTTTTCCTGTTTTTTTTTTTTTTACCCCCCTTTTATAGCCATCCTAGTGGATGTGAAATGGTATACATATCCCAGAGGGTTTTTAAAAAACATTTTGGCCTGAAAGATACGTGGAAGTTCCACCCTTTGGTCCACTTCCCCTTTGCCTTCTGTTCTCAATGTTTAGAAGGTAATAAAAAGAGCTGGCATGCAGACGACATCTACCACGTGCTTGGAGCTTTGTTGAGCTCCTCACTTGCTCAATTACAATCTATAGATGTGCCTGATTTCATCAGCAACCCAGATTCCTCTGCACAAACAAGTCAGAAGGTAGAAGGTGAGGCTGATTGTAGGCATGTGCCCTTTAAGGCTTGAAATAGGAAGAAACAAATTTCTGAAGCCCTGTGCATTTGGGAATAATAATGGTTAGAAGGAAATTTCTGTTTGCAGAAGGATTCACTGCAGGGTTCCTTTAAATAGCACACTTCCCTGATTCATTAAACATAAAGTTCAATGTACTAAATCTGAAGAAGGAATAAGTATTTCAGATTATCTGTTATGTTAAATGAGGCACACCTAGCCACTTATCTGTTCATTAGGCTTTCCTCCCAAGTCCTATTCAGCATAAGCGAACCAGAATGTGTTCAACAGGATTCATGAAATACTAACAGAAAAATATCCACTGGATTTGATAATTAGAAAGTCATCAATCATCTTTAAAAGAGCAGTCTCCGGGGGCACCTGGGTGGCTCAGTCGGTTAAGTGTCCAACTCCTGATTTTGGCTCAGGTCGTGATCTCACAGTTCACGAGATTGAGCCCCATGTTGGGTTCTGTGCTGAAAGGGCAGAACCTGCTTGGGATTCTCTTTCTCCCTCTCTCTCTGGCCCACACAAGCACACTTTTTCTCTCTCAAAATGAATAAATAAACATAAAAAAAAAGGAGTCAGCATTGGATGGGGATAAGGCAGAGAAATGTAGCATTGAAGGCAGAACCAAAGACAGCTTTGTTTTGGGTGGAGGAAGGTTGTGGGTTGAGAAGTCAATGGAAGGAGTGGAAATTAAGATAAATGACTAGGGACACCTGAGTGCCTCAGTTGGTTGAGAATCTGACTCTTGATTTCTACTCAGGTCATGATCTTTTTTTTTTTTTTTTAGTTTTAATGTATTTATTTATTTTGGACAGAGAGAGCAGAGCATGACGGAGGTCAGAGAGAGGGAGACACAGAATCGAAACAGGCTCCAGGCTCTGAGCTGGCCAGCACAGAGCCGGGGGCAGGCACCAAACTTCTGAACCGTGAAATCAGGACCTGAGCCGAAGTCAGAAGCTCAACCAACTGAGCCACCCAGGCGCCCCTACTCAGGTCATGATCTTATTGTTCATGGGTTCGAGCCCCGCCTCAGGCTCCGTGCTGAACATGGAGTCTGCTTAAGATTCTCTCTCTCTCTCCCTCTGCCCCTCTCCCCTGCTCGTGCACTCTTTCTGTCTCTCTCTCAAATTAAAAAAAAAGAGAGAAACAATTCTTTCAAAAAGTTGAATGAGCCCCGAAGGAGAGTGGAGAGGATGTAAGGTCAAGGGGTAGTTGGGTTTATTATTTTTGGGTAGAAAGAGAACGAGCCGTATTTTTGTAGACTCAGGAACAGAGCCAGCCAAGGAGGAAATGTTGAAGATACAGGAAAGAGAAGGTATAATTAATTGATGACAACATAAGCATGATCGTGAAGTAATGGGTCAGAGACACAGATGGAATAGTTAGCTTTGTGGTGGATTGGGGAGGTATGTTGTCCACAGGGACCTGAGAAATGGACGTGAGATGTCTATCTGTGGAGGAAGCAACATGGTTAGGGAATGTTTATGTGATGCCCTTATACCTGGTTCCTACTTCAGAGACATGGTAATCTGCTTAGTGTGAAAGGTTGGGGGTTGAGTGTAGGGTTTAAGGACAATGGCCATCTAAGGGAATGGGGGAAGAACCGATCAAAATAAGGAAGTTATCCTAAAGAACAACCATACCCTATTAAGACAGATTCTCCTGTGCTTTTGCCTAGGCCAGAACACTGGGCTGGATGGTCTGTATATCTGACCCCGTCCTGCATTTCTAATATTCTCCTCAGGCATGAGCTCTACTGGGTGTCCTACTTGGACATCTTATCTCCATGTGGCTCTGTAATTTTATTCTTGACCTGACTCCCCTCTCTTTCTTCATTTCCAAACCTTTCCACTGTGCTCTCTAGAACTCCTGATCTAGTTAAAAGAAGCCCCTCAGTTCATAGCCTCTTCTCTGCATCGCACTCCCACCATCTCAAGATTTCACTGAACATGGCTGCCTCTGAAGATCAGTACTTCCTGAAGCTTCTGCCACTCCGACAACAAAGAACCCCCCTGCCCCCGCCCCCCGCCACTGTTATTGGTGTTCACTCTGTGACAGGAATTGTTTAAAGCACTTTCAGCCTAGTAGCTAATTTAATCCTCATAACAACACCAAGAGGCTGGCACTATTGCTAGTTTTTTTTTTTTTTTTAAACAAAGAAACTGAGGTACCCAGAGATTACAGAACTTGACCGAAGTCAGAAAGCTTGGCAGAGGTGGGATATGAACCCAGGAGGCATGGAACCACAGTCTTTATTTAGGAGTTAAATCATACTGACTTTCCAAAGCCCTTTCAAGTTGAGGGTTTTGGATCCCCTCATATCTCAAGTGCTGCATTCGAGGGGTGTTGATGTTGCCAGTTTCTAAGTCTTTGAAAGGGTTCTAAATCTGGATTGCTTCTTGATTTCCCCACTCCAAACACCTTAGGATTCTGCTTCTTGGGGTTGGTGAAGTCCTGTGTCTGTTTTTGTGTGTATGTGCGTGAACTTGAGGGTTTATTTATTTTTAAAGTTCATTTATTTGTTTTGAGAGAGAGAGACAGAGAGAGAGGGAGAGAGAGAATCCCAAGCAGGCTCCAAATTGTCAATGCAGAGCCTGACATGGGGCTCCAACTCACAAACCGTAAGATCATGGCCTGAGCCGAGATCAAGAGTCAGATGCTTAACTGACTAAGCCACCCAGGTGCCCTGAGGGTTTATAATTTAAAAGAAAAAAAAAACTCTATATGGTCAGAATATGGGGCTGAAGGGGGTTGTGGACGTAAATGCTTGTTCCGGTTTTTCCAAATCCTCACCAACATTGTTCTTTTCTTTGTTTTGCTGTTTTTCCTTCCTTCCCTCCCTTATTATGACCATTCTCATGGGTGTGAAATGGTATCTCACTGTGGTTTTGATTTGTATTTCCCTAATGAATAATGATGTGAGTATCTTTTCAAGTGCTTGTTGGCCATTTGTAGGTCTTCTTTGAAAAAAAATGTCTACCAATCTTTTGCCCAATTTTTAATGCAAACGTTCTTTTAATATTTCATACCCCAAACATTTTCATATTGCACACTAGCAGACATGCAGTCTCCCTGTGACTGCAGTAACAAGAAAGGCCTTTTAATCAAGCATTTAATCAAGCTACTATGGGAATAGGTCAAAGCTCAAAGATCCCTCAGTAGCCAGGTAGGTTTAAATTGCCCACAATATTGGCTCAAAGTAAATATTACAGAGAAATTTGTTTGGGTAAGAGCAACGGAAATTACATTAAAAAATTTTTTTTAACATTTATTTATTTTTTGAGAGAAGGAGAAAGAGACAGAGCATGAGTGGGGGAGGGGCAGAGAGAGAGACAGACAGACAGACAGAATCTGAAGCAGGCTCCAGGCTCTGAGCTGTTAGCACAGAGCCCAATGCAGGGCTCAAACACACAAACTGTGAGATCATTACCTGAGCCGAAGTCAGCCGCTTAACCAACTGAGCTACCCAGGCACCCCAGGAAATTACATTTTTAAGACTTTTCTTTGCTGTGCAGAAGCTTTTTATCTTCATGAGGTCCCAGTAGTTCATTTTTGCTTTTAATTCCCTTGCCTTTGGGGATGTGTCAAGTAAGAAATTGCTGCGGCTGAGGTCAGAGAGGTCTTTTCCT